AAGGACACCTTTTCCCAACAGCAATTTTAAGATCTCTCCACAGGTGTTCAATGGGATTTAGATCTGGGCTCATTGCTGGCCACTTCAGAACTCTCCAGCGCTTCTTTGCCATCCATTTCTGAGTGCTTTTTGACGTATGTTTGGGGTCATTGTCCTGCTGGAAGACCCAGGATCTTGGACGCAAACCCAGCTTTCTGACACTGGGCCCTACAGTGCGACCCAAAATCCTTTGGTAATCCTCAGATTTCATGATGCCTTGCACACAGTCAAGGCACCCAGTGCCAGAGGCAGCAAAACAACCCCAAAACATCATTGAACCTCCACCATATTTTACCTTAGGTACTGTGTTTTGTTCTTTGTAGGCCTCATTCCGTTTTCGGTAAACAGTAGAATGATGTGCTTTACCGAAAAGCTCTATCTTGGTCTCATCTGTCCACAAGACGTTTTCCCAGAAGGCTTTTGGCTTACTCAAGTACATTTTGGCAAACTGTAGTCTTGCTTTTTTATGTCTCTGTGTCAGCAGTGGGGTCCTCCTGGGTCTCCTGCCATAGCGTTTCATTTCATTTAAATGTCGACGGATAGTTCGCGCTGACACTGATGCTCCCTGAGCCTGCAGGACAGCTTGAATGTCTTTGGAACATGTTTGGGGCTGCTTATCCACCATCCGGACTATTCTGCGTTGCAATCTTTCATCAATTTTCCTCATCCGTCCACGACCAGGGAGATTAGCTACAGTGCCATGGGTTGCAAACTTCTTGATAATGTTTGCGCACTGTGGACAAAGGCAAATCTAGTTCTCTGGAGATGGACTTGTAACCTTGAGATTGTTGATATTTTGCCACAATTTTGGTTCTCAGGTCCTCAGACAGTTCTCGTCTCCTCTTTCTGTTGTCCATGCTTAGTGTGGCACAGACAGACACACAATGCAAAGGTTAAGTGAACGTCTCTCCTTTTTTATCTGCTTTCAGGTGTGATTTCTATATTGCCCACACCTGTTACTTGCCCCAGGTGAGTTTACAGGAGCATCACATGCTTGTAACATTCTTATTTATCCGCAGTTGTGAAAGGGTGCCAATACTTTTGTCCAGCCCATTTTTGAGGTTTGTGTGACATTATGTCGAATTTGCTTTCTTTCCTCCCTTTTTTTGTTTTGTCCCAATACACACAAAGGGAATAAACATGTGTATAGCAAAACATGTGTTAATGCAATACGTTTCGTGAGAAATACATGATTTCCTGGAGAAATATCAAGGGTGCCAACAATTTCGGCCATGACTGTATATATATAAAAACCCAGTAGTGATCAAATACCAGCAAAAGAGAGCATTATCTGGCAATGGCAATAGCAATTTCCATTCAAAGTGCAATAGCACTGAAAACGTAAAATTGGCCTGTGCGGGAAGGGGGTGAAGTAGTTAATAAAGAGGAGCATAGTGATTTTTTTTTTTTCTTTTTTAATTTGTTGGGAAGGAATATATAGTTTTTATATACTTTAGTTTGCATTACTTAGCATTTTCTGTATTTGTGTTTTTTCCTCCTTTTTTTGGTGCATTTGATTATTTGTGTATTTGAACTTTGACTTTTTTTTTTTTTTTTTTTACTTTTTTCACCGTAATCAATACCTAAAAAGAGTTAAACTTACAAATAACTTCAACGGATATGCAGAAGAAAAATTAAAATTTTGAGGTACACCTAAATTTTGAATTTTTCACTTTCTGGTAAAAAATTCCATCATTTTATTTTAGAAAAAAATATAAATACATAAAAAGCTTGATTTTATAATAGCTGGCTTTCAATGTCCCCAGACATAATCTCCCTATAATTATTAGTGCAGAGATCAGGAGTGTGCTATGTACAGAGTGCAGAGATCAGGAGTGTGCTATGTACAGAGTGCAGAGATCAGGAGTGTGCTACATACAGAGTGCAGAGTTCAGGAGTGTACTATGTACAGAGTGCAGAGATCAGGAGTGTGCTACATACAGAGTGCAGAGTTCAGGAGTGTACTATGTACAGTGTGCAGAGTTCAGGAGTGTACTACGTACAGTGTGCAGAGTGCAGGAGTGTACTACGTACAGTGTGCAGAGTGCAGGAGTGTGCTACGTACAGTGTGCAGAGTTCAGGAGTGTACTACGTACAGTGTGCAGAGTTCAGGTGTGTGCTACATACAGAGTGCAGAGTTCAGGAGTGTACTACGTACAGTGTGCAGAGTGCAGGAGTGTACTACGTACAGTGTGCAGAGTGCAGGAGTGTACTATGTACAGTGTGCAGAGTTCAGGAGTGTGCTACATACAGAGTGCAGAGTTCAGGAGTGTGCTACATACAGAGTGCAGAGTTCAGGAGTGTGCTACGTACAGAGTGCAGAGTTCAGGAGTGTGCTACATACAGAGTGCAGAGTTCAGGAGTGTGCTACGTACAGAGAGCAGAGTTCAGGAGTGTGCTACGTACAGAGTGCAGAGTTCAGGAGTGTGCTACATACAGAGTGCAGAGTTCAGGAGTGTGCTACGTACAGAGTGAGGAGTTCAAGGATGTTACACACAGGGTGCAGAGTTCAGGAGTGTGCTACGTACAGAGTGAGGAGTTCAGGAGTGCATTACACACAGGGTGCAGAGTTCAGGAGTGTGCTCTGTGCAGATTGTAGAGTTCAGGAGTATTCTCCGTACAGAGTGCAGAGTTCAGGAGTGTGCTCCATACAGAGTGCAGAGTTCAGGAGTGTGCTCCGTACAGAGTGCAGAGTTCAGGAGTGTGCTACGTACAGAGTGCAGAGTTCAGGAGTGTGCTACGTACAGAGTGCAGAGTTCAGGAGTGTACTATGTACAGTGTGCAGAGTTCAGGAGTGTACTACGTACAGTGTGCAGAGTGCAGGAGTGTGCTACGTACAGTGTGCAGAGTTCAGGAGTGTGCTACGTACAGTGCAGCAGAGTTCAGGAGTGTACTACGTACAGTGTGCAGAGTTCAGGAGTGTGCTACATACAGAGTGCAGAGTTCAGGAGTGTGCTACGTACAGTGTGCAGAGTTCAGGAGTGTGCTACATACAGAGTGCAGAGTTCAGGAGTGTGCTACTACGTACAGTGTGCAGAGTTCAGGAGTGTACTACGTACAGTGTGCAGAGTGCAGGAGTGTACTACGTACAGTGTGCAGAGTTCAGGAGTGTGCTACATACAGAGTGCAGAGTTCAGGAGTGTGCTACATACAGAGTGCAGAGTTCAGGAGTGTGCTACTACAGTGTGCAGAGTTCAGGAGTGTGCTACATACAGAGTGCAGAGTTCAGGAGTGTACTACGTACAGTGTGCAGAGTGCAGGAGTGTACTACGTACAGTGTGCAGAGTTCAGGAGTGTACTACGTACAGAGTGCAGAGTTCAGGAGTGTGCTACATACAGAGTGCAGAGTTCAGGAGTGTGCTACATACAGAGTGCAGAGTTCAGGAGTGTGCTACGTACAGAGTGCAGAGTTCAGGAGTGTGCTACATACAGAGTGCAGAGTTCAGGAGTGTGCTACGTACAGAGAGCAGAGTTCAGGAGTGTACTACGTACAGTGTGCAGAGTTCAGGAGTGTGCTACATACAGAGTGCAGAGTTCAGGAGTGTGCTACGTACAGAGTGAGGAGTTCAAGGATGCATTACACACAGGGTGCAGAGTTCAGGAGTGTGCTACGTACAGAGTGAGGAGTTCAAGGATGCATTACACACAGGGTGCAGAGTTCAGGAGTGTGCTCTGTGCAGATTGTAGAGTTCAGGAGTATTCTCCGTACAGAGTGCAGAGTTCAGGAGTGTGCTCCATACAGAGTGCAGAGTTCAGGAGTGTGCTCCGTACAGAGTGCAGAGTTCAGGAGTGTGCTACGTACAGAGTGCAGAGTTCAGGAGTGTGCTACGTACAGAGTGCAGAGTTCAGGAGTGTGCTACGTACAGAGTGCAGAGTTCAGGAGTGTGCTACGTACAGAGTGCAGAGTTCAGGAGTGTGCTACGTACAGAGTGCAGAGTTCAGGAGTGTGCTACGTACAGAGTGCAGAGTTCAGGAGTGTGCTACGTACAGAATGCAGTGATCAGGAGTGTGCTATGTACAGGGTGAAGAGTGCAAGGATTTATTACACACAGTCTGCAGAGTTCAGGGGTGTGCTAGATACAGAGTGCAGATTTCAGGGTTCAGTTACACACAGAATGCTGAGTTCAGCCCAGCTGTTCCACAGATGCCTTCCTCTGTATCCTCCATCCACATCTCACTTTCACCCCTCTTCATCTCTGACCTCTGCACACAGCACTCCCCCGTACTTTTGTTGCCGCATTAAGCTAGAGGTGGTGGAACTGAGTTCTACCAAGTTCCAGCTGAAAAACCCCTAACACTGTTGATCTTTTTTGCTATCTGTAAGGGGGGAATTCTTTCCACTGATCCCCAATGTAAGGAATATTCTTCCCACTGACCCCCCAATGCAAGGGGCATTCTTCCCACTGATCCCCAATGCAAGGGGCATTCTTCCCACTGACCCCCAATGTAAGGGGCATTCTTCCCACTGACCCCCAATATAAGAGACATTCTTCCCACTGATCCCCAATGTAAGGGACATTCTTCCCACTGACCACCAATGTAAGGGACATTCTTCCCACTGACCCCCAATGTAAGGGACATTCTTCCCACTGATCAACAATGTAAGGGGTATTCTTCCCACTGACCCCCAATGTAAGGGGCATTCTTTCCACTGACCCCCAATGTAAGGACATTATTCCCCACTGACCCCCCAATGTAAGGGGCATTCTTCCCCACTGACCACCAATGTAAGGGACATTCTTCCCACTGACCACCAATGTAAGGGACATTCCTCCCACTGACCACCAATGTAAGGGACATTTTTCCCACTGACCACCAATGTAAGGAGCATTCTTCCCACTGACCCCCAATGTAAGGGGCATTCTTCCCACTGATCCCCAATGTAAGAGACATTCTTCCCACTGATCACCAATGTAAGGGGCATTCTTCCCACTGATCACCAATGTAAGGGGCATTCTTCCCCACTGATCACCAATGTAAGGGACATTCTTCCCACTGACCCCCAATGTAAGGGACATTCTTCCCACTGACTCATCACCAATGTAAGGAACATTCTTCCCACTGACCCCCAATGTAAGGGACATTCTTCCCACTGATCACCAATGTAAGGGGCATTCTTCCCACTGACCCCCCAATGTAAGGGACATTCTTCCCACTGACCACCAATGTAAGGGACATTCTCCCCACTGACCACCAATGTAAGGGACATTCTTCCCACTGACCCCCAATGTAAGGGACATTCTCCCACACTGACCCCCAATGTAAGGGGCATTCTTCCCACTGACCCCCAATGTAAGGGACATTCTTCCCACTGATCCCCAATGTAAGGAGCATTCTTCCCACTGATCACCAATGTAAGGAGCATTCTTCCCACTGACCACCAATGTAAGGGACATTCTTCCCACTGACCACCAATGTAAGGGGCATTCTTCCCCCACTGACCCCCAATGTAAGGGACATTATTCCCACTGATCAACAATGTAAGGGGTATTCTTCCCACTGACCCCCAATGTAAGGGGCATTCTTTCCACTGACCCCCAATGTAAGGGACATTATTCCCACTGACCCCCAATGTAAGGGGCATTCTTCCCACTGACCACCAATGTAAGGGAAATTCTTCCCACTGACCACCAATGTAAGGGACATTCTTCCCACTGACCACCAATGTAAGCTGCATTCTTCCCACTGACCCCCAATGTAAGGGACATTCTTCCCACTGATCCCCAATGTAAGAGACATTCTTCCCACTGATCACCAATGTAAGGGGCATTCTTCCCACTGACCACCAATGTAAGAGACATTCTTCCCACTGATCACCAATGTAAGGGACATTCTTCCCACTGACCTCCAATGTAAGAGACATTCTTTCTTCCCACTGACCCCCAATGTAAGAGACATTCTTCCCACTGATCACCAATGTAAGGGACATTCTTCCCACTGACCCCCAATGTAAGGGACATTCTTCCCACTGATCACACCAATGTAAGGAACATTCTTCCCACTGACCCCCCAATGTAAGGGACATTCTTCCCACTGATCACCAATGTAAGGGGCATTCTTCCCACTGACCCCCCAATGTAAGGGACATTCTTCCCACTGACCACCAATGTAAGGGACATTCTCCCCACTGACCACCAATGTAAGGGACATTCTTCCCACTGACCCCCAATGTAAGGGACATTCTCCCCACTGACCCCCAATGTAAGGGGCATTCTTCCCACTGACCCCCAATGTAAGGGACATTCTTCCCACTGACCCCCAATGTAAGGGACATTCTTCCCACTGATCTCCAATGTAAGGGACATTCTTCCCACTGACCACCAATGTAAGGGACATTCTTCCCACTGACCCCCAATGTAAGGGACATTCTTCCCACTGACCCCCAAATGTAAGGAACTTTCTTCCCACTGACCCCCAATGTAAGGGACATTCTTCCCACTGACCCCCAATGTAAGGAGCATTCTTCCCACTGACCATCACACTAATGTATCATGAGCTGTAGATATAGTAATAGTTAGAAGGGGTTTCTCTGTTGAAAAGGTTGCGAAAGGCTGACTTAGACGGAATGAACTCAAAGTGCTTGCAAAGGCCCAAGGTTTTTGACCTTCATGCATTCCATAATACGTACCTGAGCCCTATCACGATCCAGCAATGTGCATGAGAGCCTCGGCTCTCCAGGGACTCTCCCTCCTCATTTGCTGCAAATCACAGCCTGTGAGCCAATAAGGAGAGAGGTGGGTGGGGTCGAGCCATGGCTCTGCGTGTGAATGAACATGTAGAGCAGCAGCTCAGGAGAGAGCTAGCTTGGGTACCTTCATAGCAAGCTGCCTGCTCTGGAGGCACTAGGATGGAGGCAGGGGCCAGGAGCACCCCAGAAGAGGAGTATCAGGGCTGCTCTGTTCAAAACCACTTCACACAGCAGGTAAGTATAGACATGTTTTTTTTTTTTCAAGAATTGCTTTAAAGATTTTATTTTATTTCAGGTACTTATTTAATGCCGTCGATTTATTCAGCTTTTTACATATATATATTGTATATTCAGTCCCTGCCCTCAAGGGGCGTACAATCTAAGGTCCCTATTTCACCTTCATACGTACACATGCTAGGGGCCCAATTTAGACAGGAGCCAACTATCCTACCAGCATGTCTTTGGAGTGTGGGAGGAAACTGGAGTACCAAGAGGAAGCCCACGCAAGCACAGGGAGAACATGCAAACTCCAGGCAGGTGGTGTTGTGGTTGGGATTCGAACCAACAACCCGAGTACTGCCAGGCGGAAGTGCTAACCATTTCTTTTTTAGGCTGCCAGGCAGATGGTCTGGTGGTTGAGACTCGAACCGATGACCCTAGTGCTGCAAGATGGAAGTGCTAACCACTTATCCACTATACTGCCCTCTATACCTTTAACCAGGGCTGCTGTTAGAAACCACAGGGCCCCATACAGCCAACCTGACAGAGCCCCCCTCCCAAATAAAAAAAAACAAAAAACACAATAACCCAGTTGACTATGCTTTAGTTATGAATGAACACTGACTGATTGGTACAAATCACTCTCTGTGTTCATTCAGGAAAGGAAGGGGCTGGTAAATGTAACATATTTACAGGACCCATTCCCCACTCTCAGTCCTGAAGGATCCTTTTGTGTGCTTACAGCTGCCATTGGAAAGGAGAGGAGGGAAGCTGGCAGCACTGCGGGGGTGGAGGCACACGGGGGGGGGGGGGGGGGGGGTCTGGGCAGCAGGGGGAAATGTATGGTGCCCAGAGAGGGTGATTGGTGAGATGGGGGGTAGTACTGGAACCGATCCCCTGTAGGGCTCTCTCTGCAGCAGCTGAAAGCCAGAGAAGAAGCCAGCTTTTAGACATACAGGGGATCAGTTCCAGTAATTGCCCCCCCCGCCACATCGATCACCCTCCCTGCTCACATCCAATTCACCCAGCTGCCTGGGCCCCTCTGCTGGCCTGGGCCCCGTATAGGACTGGTGGCACCCCCTTATCCACGGCGCTGCCTCTCACATGAACAAACACCATATATACAGTATGTAATGAAAGGTCCACTTTAAGACTTGGGGATGCTGGATACGGTAGACGGTAAATATTAATGATGATTTTTTTTTTTCTTTCTTTTTCTTTTTGGTGGCTGAAGTTAAACTTGATCAATGACACTTAATTATTACCCAGTAAACAGAGCGATGAAAGCTGCAGACACAACACGTAACAAAGCCAGGCTCTCCCACTAATGAAGTCCGACAATTAGAAGCAAAACGAGGCGCGGTAAACACGCCGCCATTGTTCGGCATTTCATTTGAAGCTAACTTCCAGGGCGACGTGTCACCAAGGGTCGCCGTACAAAGCGCTGGAAATATTTCCTTTGTAGAAATGAGGAGAAAATGTATTCTATAAGAAATAATGATGGCACATTTCTAATAATGCCAGAAGGAAGGAAGCTTAGAAATCCCATTTATAAAGTATAGAAAAAAACTTCAGTGCAATGGCTACCGTCTTACATATGTGCAGCTAGCGTGTAATATGTTCCCACATGCTATACTATAATCAGTGTTTTTTTTTACATGATAGCGGAGTGGACTGGATTCATACAAAGTGTTGGCAAAGAGTGAGAAGACTTTGTACCATATATACAGTTCTGTTCAAAATACTAGCAGTCAGACATCACTAACCGGATCAATCACTGTTTTTGGTGGAAATGATATTTCTACATGGCAAATAATTTCCTAGCCGGTGTAGTAGAGTCATAGAAATCCAACAGACCCAACAGTCATGACATGCATGCTGCTGATTCTGTGTCATTGAATCACTCATTGAGGGGCGTGTTCACAATAATAGCCGTGTGGAGTTCTATTAGTGAGGTCATTCATTCTTTGATAAACAGGTGGCAATTATTGCCCTTATTTAAGGAAGGAAGGCAGCAAATGTTGGACATGCTGCTTACAGTGCATTTCTCTCTGAAATTCTGAGGAAAATGGGTCGTTCCAGACATTGTTCAGAAGAACAGCGTACCTTGATTACAAAGTTGATTGGAGAGGGGAAAACATATAAAGAAGTGCAGAAAATGATCGGCTGCTCAGCTAAAATGATGGCAAATGCTTTAAAATGGCAACCAAAACCTGAAAGACGTGGAAGAAAGCGAAAAACTACCATTGGAATGGATAGAAAGAAAAGCCAAAATGGGGCGGACTCAGCCAACAATCAGCTCCAGGAAGATGAAAGAAGGTGTGACGTTCCCTGTGAGGACTGTTACAATTAGAAGACGCCGATGTGAAGCCAAGCTATCTGCAAGAAGTCCCCGCAAAGTCCCACTGTTGGGAAAAAGACGTGTGCTGAAGAGGTTACAATCTGCCAAAGAGCACATTGACTGGTCTAAAGAGAAATGGCGCAACATTTTGTGGGCTGATGAAAGTAAGATTGTTCTTTTTGGGTCTAGTTTGTCAGACGACCCCCAAACACTGAATTCAAGCCACAGTACACTGTGAAAACCGTGAAGCATGGTGGTGCAAGCATCATGATATGGGGATGTTTCTCATACTACGGTGTTGGGCCTATTTATCGCATACCAGGGATCATGGATCAGTTTGAATCCATCAGAATACTTGAAGAGGTCATGCTGCCTTATGCTGAAGAGGAAATGCCCTTGAAATGGGTGTTCCAACAAGACAACGACCCCAAGAGTGGCCAGCCCAATCCCCGGATCTTCATCCAATAGAAAACTTGTGGGGGGACATCAAAAATGCTGTTTCTGAGGCAAAACCAAGAAATAGAGAAGAACTGTGGAATGTGGTCCAATCATCCTGGGCTGGAATACCTGATCACAGGGGCCAGAAGTTGGGTGACTCCATGCAACACAGATGTACAGCAGTTCTCAGAAACAGTGCGACTACAACCAAATATTCATGAAGTCATTCAAAGGAAAGCAAAATCTTCAAACATTTCTCAGTTTATATAGTGAATGTTTGAGTTTGTAAAGAAGAATACAAACACTGCGATTTTTTTGAACCGTCTAATATTCACTTTTCTTCAAATTTTTTAGAGGAACAACACAAATCTGATGTATTTTTCTTCATGTTGTGATTTGGAATAGAATGTGTCATGTTCCCAATGCATTTGTGTGGATGGAAATAAAAGCTATTAGAAGGATTTTGAGCTTTATTCACTTTTTTCAACACACTGCTATTATTTTGAACACAACTGTATATATATATATACACACACACACAAAGTTATAATCCTATACCCACAGTGGATCCAGAGGAAGGCAAAAAAAACCCAGCAAAATGTGATCTAATCCAAATGTACTGCATGAAAAGAAACAAACAGAGGGCGCACAGGCCTAGTGCATTACCTTAAAACATGATTTATTGTATAAAGGAAGTGGTAATATACTCACAAAGGATAACAGTGTCAAGGGCGCATCATAAAAAGTACACAAAGTCTAGTCTCACTGAATGATATCCGTGATGGGATTCCTAGACCTCCAACTGGCTGATGCGTTTTGAGGACTTGCCTCTTCCTCAGAGCCATTTAAAGATGATGTGCCCTTGACACCACTGTTATCCTTTTGTGAGTATACTACCACTTCTTTTATACAATAAATAGTTTTTTTAAGGTAACGCGCTAGGCCTGTACGCTCTCTGTTTGTTTCTTTACATGCAACATCTAAAGCCAGACTGAGTAGGAGGTATCTGAACAGATTGGGGTAGGGAGTTCCAAAGGATGGGAGAGGCTCTGGAGAAGTCCTTGGGAGAGCATGGGAGGATGTGACGAGGGAGCTACAGAGCAGAAGGTCTTGGGAGGAGCAGAGAGGATGGTTTGGGTGATATTTTGAGACGTGGTTTGGGGCAGAGTCATGGATGGCTATTTATGTTAACATTTTAATTTATTCGTTAGGTCAGGGGTGAGCAATGTGCAGCTCTCCAGCTGTTGCAGAACTACAAGTTCCATCATGCCTCTGTCAGTTTTGCAATGTCGGTCTTTGCAATGCCTCATGGTAAATGTAGTTCCACAATTGCTGGAGAGCCGCACATTGCCCACCGCTGCGCTAGGTGATCAGAAACCATTGAAGGTATTAGCAGAGAGGGGTGGTGGACACTTAGCAATGGTTTATAGATGAGTCTGGTAGCAGCAGGGGCAGACTGACAACTCATGGGGCCGCCGGGTAATAGGGGATCGTGGGGCCTCTGTGTCCTCGCTCACACTCAAACCACACCCAAAAAAGCCTATGAAAGGAACCAGGGGCATCTCATGGGGTCCCCTACTGACCTCAGGCCCTTGGGCAGTGCCCGAGTGCCCAAATGGTCAGTCCACCCCTGGGTAGCAGCATTCATAATAAACTGAAGGGGGGATAGTCTGTGTAAAGGTAGGTCAATA